GCAGAGGCTCTAAATGAAACAGTCTGTGTCCTTGTCGATTGCAAAGGACTAACAGTAAGTAGATCTCACCTCTACTTCAAAAGCTGTTCAGTATAGACGAGATTTTCTTTTTCTCCTTTTCTTTCTGGATCATATTGGGAAGTTTTCTTCCAGCTCCTCATTGTAGTTCAGTAGGTTAATTTCCTTGGTTTCTTACAAATACATAGCAGGTATCACTGATCATCAGTGTCTTAGCAGATGCCATAGTTTCATCCCTTATAGGCTTCTAAATGTCAGATGTCTTTTTTTTTTAATTTTTTGTTTTGATCAATTGAAAGCGGAGGCTTCAGGAGCTAAAGCTACATAAATAGAAAATCTGCAATTGCTGCTTTTAAGTTCTTAAAGTTATCTCTTGCCTACAAGTCATGACTGAAATCTACTCTGGCACGAAAAATATCATAACGTGTTAATATAGATCTTTTGAGTCTGAGGCTGTTAGTATCTTCTATATATCCAAAAGCAAAAAGGTTGACATGTCTTCCTAACATACTGGAACTTCTACAGATCCAAGGAAAATACTACTTCAGAATTGATGCCCTGGGAGAAGGTGCTAAGTGGCGTCGTTCCTTTGGCCAAGAGATATATTCACCCCTTCTGTTGGCCATTGCTGAACAGGTGGTAGAATTTTGGGAAAAGAAAAACAACCAACAAGTGTGTTTACTTTAGCCATGTTATTGGCTACTTAACGGGAAATTTCTTGTTCCAGGATGCTGATAATTGGATGAAGTCTCATGTTGCCACTTTCTCGGGAATTGATTCATCCTATAGTTTACCTGATAATGTTGCTATTATTACTCTCCAGGTACTGTTTTAGGCATTGCCATATTCTCTTTCCAATCATACGTTCAAATTAATTACATATGGTCTTCTGGGTGAGATTATAGACAGGAATGACAAGGAATCTTTTGAAATCTCAAACCTCATAGAAATGTTGCCAAAACATAACTTACCAGCTTCTGAAAATTACCTTCTTTTTTCTCTTATAATGTTTCTTGCCTTTTTTTGAATTATGCAGAAACTTGATGATGGAAAAGTCCTCCTCCGGTTGGCACATCTATACGAGGTGCCTTTTTTCTTTTACTATATTAAATCATTTAAAGTGCATCTTTTTGTAAGCTTCAAGTACGTTGTTTATTATCTCCATAATACTTTACTAACAGTTCTGAATTTGTCTCCCTCACCATATAGTCCACCATTAACATCCTCAATGTACTTGGTTGCATGAGAATTAATTGCTGGGAAAAATACTGCTGTTAGTTTGCTGATATTTTGAAGTAGTCCTCACTCCTCTTCTCTCTTCCTTCTCTGTTTCAGAGCTTCTAATCGTTTTTCTGTTTGAATTCTTGGAATTATGCAAAGGTTGGAGAAGACAAGGATCTTTCTGAAATAACAAAGGTAGAACTAAAGAAGCTATTCCCAGGCAAGAAGGTAGAAGAAGCTGAGTTTGAGACAACAAATTGAATCTTTCTAAATGACCTCTCCATTTGGTTACCTTAAATGATTCATGGCCTTGTTGTTGTGTGTCCCAGATAGATGAAGTGAAAGAGATGAGCTTATCTGCCAACCAAGAAAGGGTGGAAATGGAGAAGAAGAGACTTGTTTGGGAAGTTGAAGGCTCATCCACAGAGGAATCCAAGGTGGTGCGAGGTGGACCTATTGATCCAGAAAAACTGGTCGTAGAACTTGCCCCAATGGAAATCCGAACCTTCATCATTGATTTTGATGAAGATGCATACAATCAGCAGATAGCCGATGCATGAAGTTCGATTTGATTCTTGCTTATTTTAGGAGGCATAAGCTTGAGCTCACTAGTGCTCCACTGCTCTGCCTTCAATTATGGATCATTCTTGTATATAGTCTTGGAACTCAGTCCTCAAACTAATACTTGAGTTGAGTAAAATACAATAATAATAATAAGTTGGAACTTTTTTAATTCCCTTAAATTTTTGAAATAATTAATTATTTACTTTATATTGTATAAATAGTATATCAATTACAGAATATAATTAATTTATAAATTTTGCATAATTTCAAAAGTTAACAAGCATTTTCTCTCAACTCGTACTGTAAGCAAAACTCTCTGAATCTTTCTCGGATGCTTCGTTTTGGTTATTTATAAGTCGAAGAGAAAATTTAAAAATAAATAATTCATGAATTGAACAGTACGATTCTATTTTCGATACTTATGTCGGTTTTATTTCTTTTATTTGCCGGAACCATAGGGAATTTTTTTCAATTAAGAAAGATTAAAATTTTGATATATTATCAAACTTTTTACATCAAAAATTTAAATGATTTTATACATTGGTATGAATTTTTAAAAAATGCAACTTTTTCTGTCTGTATAATTTTTTTCAGAATATTTATAATATTTTTTATAGGTCTGGTTATTTATTTTTTACAGAATTTAAAATTATCTAATTTTGTAATTGAATAAAAAAATATAAAAATATTTTCTGATAATTTTATTATAATAGATCGGAGATATATACACAAATAGAAGGATATATATATATAAAGTAAGTAACATAAATTTACTTATCAATCTGCTACGTCAATATATATATATATATAGAAAGTTAATTATCTATAATTATACTATTATACAAAAAAAATATATATATGTTGTAACCCCGTAAAGAATTCATTTA